CCAATTTCCTAAATTTAAATTTAATATTTTTATTTTTTTTAAATTAAAAATTGAAAATCGGGGCTCCAAACAATTTCTCCTTCTCCCAAAGCCGCAGAAGTTTCCTCTCCGGCAACAGATGGAGCAGAGTTAGAACACATAACATCGTTTATTTGCATTGTTACCAGTAGATGGCACTGGCTGGTTGATTTGGGATGGTAGAACCACGACTTTGGAATATCCGCACCCTCGGGATCTGTCGGTTTGGGATGGGAAGGGCTCACGCAGGGATTTTGAGCAGCTGCCGGGATCCAGGATTGCCCGGGATCCAGGACTGCCCGGGATCCAGGACTGCCCGGGATCCAGGATTGCCCGGGATCCAGGACTGCCCGGGATCCAGGATTGCCCGGGATCAAGGATTGGTGGTGTCCCTCCATCGGCCAGCAAGAGTTTAGGGCGTCACCTGTTTAAAAAGCAGCAGAAGCCCCTGCTGGAAGTGGGGTTTTCCAGCCCTCGGGATCTCTGAGGCAGCTCTGGAATTTCAGCTCTGCTCTCAGTTCCCGATTCCTGCAGAATTCCCTCTGCCGCTGTGGGAGGAGGGATGGGAGAACTGCCACACTTGGCCGGCTGGGGGAGGCTACTCCCAGCAGGAGGAGATATTTCCATACAATCAGAGAATATCCTGAGTTGGAAGGGATCCACAAGGACCAGCCACTCCAACTCCTGCACAGGACACCCCAACAATCCCACCCTGTCCCTGAGAGCGTTGTCCAAACGCTTCTTGAGTTCTGACAGCCTTGGAATTCTCTGGGGAGCCTGTTCAGTACCCAGACACCTTCTGGGGGAAGAACCTTTTCCCAAGATCCAACCTAAACTTCCCCTGGAGCAGCTCCAGCCTTTCCCTGATGTCCTGTGATGGGTCACCACAGAGTAGAGATCAGTGCCTGACCCCTCTGCTTCTCCTCACCAGGAAGTGGGAGCCAAACTCTGAGCTCTCCCCTCAGTCCCCTCTTCTTGAGCCTGAATATTTGGCTTTTGTACAACATTGTTTTTGCAGGGAATTCACNATTCCTGCAGAATTCCCTCTGAACAGGCGGGAAGGAGCTGCCGCTGCGGGAGGAGGGATGGGGGAACTGCCACACTTGGCCGGCTGGGGGAGGCTGTTCCCAGCAGGAGGAGGTATTTCCATACAATCAGAGAATATCCTGAGTTGGAAGGGATCCACAAGGACCAGCCAGTCCAACTCCTGCACAGAACACCCCAACAATCCCACCCTGTCCCTGAGAGCGTTGTCCCAATGCTCCTTGAGTTCTGACAGCCTTGGAATTCTCTGGGGAGCCTGTTCAGTGCCCAACCACCCTCTGGGGGAAGAACCTTTTCCCAAGATCCAACCTAAACCTCCTCTGGAGCAGCTCCAGCCTTTCCCTGATGTCCTGTAACGGGTCACCACAGAGTAGAGATCAGTGCCTGACCCCTCTGCTTCTCCTCACCAGAAAGTGGGAGCCAAACTCTGAGCTCTCCCCTCAGTCCCCTCTTCTTGAGCCTGAATATTTGGCTTTTGTACAACATTGTTTTTGCAGGGAATTCACAGATCCATCAAGAGACCCCTCTAAATCCCTGCTCTTTTTTGGGGGGGAGCTGCTGAGCCCCCCAGGCAGCATTTGGGCTCAGCTCCTGCCACACCCTCCTTGTCTTTGCTGCTGGGGTTTGGTGTTTTCCTCCCTGACATATCCAAGCTTTGCTGTTGCCTCCAAACCTGCTTAGTTTTGGACACCACCAGCTCTCGGTCAGGCAGCTGAAGCCTTGTGTCACCTTTTGTGTCACCTTTTGTGTCACCTTTTGTGTCACCTTTTGTGTCACCTCGTGCCACCTCCGAGCCTTTGTGTCCCCTCTGCAGCCCAATCCTTACGATGCTACACGTGCAAGGAGCCCACGGACATCTCCAAGTGCAGAACAGCCACCCTGTGCCCGCCCAAGAGCAACGTGTGCACCACGACCCTGCACTCCGTGGACACGGGTGAGTCCCACTGATTCCTGGGAATGCTCCTGGGGAGGGAGCAGAGACTCAC